ACTCTTTACTTTCAACGTACGTGCCACTATTCCTGAAGCTGAAGTTGCCTAACCTAGAAAGCTTCATTCTGAACAGATTAAATGCTCGTGTCCGTTTGAACAAAATGCTTGATGCACAAAGCGGACCTTCACATATATGTCGTATCTGTTTTGATACAGAGAGAATTACACACGAGAATACAGTTTGAGGACCTTTGTCTCATTATTGCTCTCTATATGCCAGTGACTTGCTATGTTGGCATAGAAGGAGGTGACTTTGGCGCTGTACTTTTGCCTACAATCTTTACCATTTGAGTGAATGTGCTGATCACTGCTCCTAGTATTAGCTAATTTTTGTGAAACTCGAAGCTATGTTGCGCATGTTATTCACTAAAGGTGCAGAAGCTTCTGAGTAGCCAAGACACCCGGAATAATACTTTAAAACACTTGAAATGTAGTGTAAAACTGAATAGCATTTTTTTTTGTACTTTTTTTTTTTTTTAATTTTCAATGAAAAATGTGTAAATGCAAGATAAAATATTAGAAAAGAACTCCATCACCTGTAGCAAATGCGAGGTTAACGCCAACTAATGCCGATGAAGAATGTAACAGAGATATAGTGCTGCCACAAGGTCAAGTCACTCTGAAGTCTGGACCCAGCAAGATTGATGGAGCTAGGACTTACTTCCGTATTTGTATTGGACTCCGTTTAGGAGAAAGCTCGGGAGTAGCCAGAGCGCTCGATTCGGAACCTCGACCCCAGTTGCAGATATGCACACTGTACATAATTATGCCGACGAAAACTAAAGGATGGAAACAGAAAGGACGACTCTCTTTCTAGCTCCAGTCATCTAGTTGAGTCGGATTATATCGCATTCTTGCCTTGGTTCCACTTTGGAATCTCGTCTCTGCTACTTATTCTGATTAGGCTCATTGCCACGCCAAAGGGCTGAATCATTTTCCCATGAGACGACGCTAACATACATAATAAGACACTATATGTCCACCAATCATGTATGGTCCTATTGAGTTTTTTCGTAACGCACAGCCGTTAAGGTTGTCTAGCATTGAATTATCCCCTTTTCTCGGGTTACACTCGATTTCCATAAATACGGATTTCTTTATGCTATTAAACCACTCAGTAAAACTAGTAACATTTCTCCTGCCACGTCAGACACAGTACAACCTTTTCCCCGCATCTATGCTCATGGCAGATCCGACCTATTCGACTTGTTTAAATCTTATGGTAATTGTTATATTACTTTATGTGTATTACTTATATAGAAAACCTGGCACATTACCTCCTGGGCCAAGAGGTTTTCCGTTTGTGGGGAATCTATTTAACCTTCCCAAAAGTTTTGAATGGATTGAATGGGGCTCATATCTGGATTGCTATGGTAAGCTTCTCTTTTTTTCCTGACTTGAACGATTAATGAGCATTACAGGTGCTATATCTTCGATTACTGTACTTGGAAAAACCATTATCATCTTGAACACTTTGGAAGCATGTACAGATTTGTTGGAAAAGAGAGGAACCATTTATTCTGAGAGACCTCAACTCACGTTTGCTGGAAACATGTAAGATCGATACTTATTCTACCAATATTCCAATTGAATCATTTCTAGTGTTGGTTGGGATAAACAAATGATTCTTAGTCCATACAATAGTCGTTTTAAACTGCTAAGGAAAATGGTATCCAAGTGCGCAGGGACAAAAAATGCCGTAACCCACTTCTACGAGTCTCAGGAGCATGAAATGCATTTCTTTTTGTATTTGATGTTAAATCGACCACAAGAGTTTAGGAAGCACTTGAGAAGGTATTATCTCTGCTGCACAATTTGTCCCAATGTTGATATAGTTTAGCTCTATTGGAGCTGTATTCCTTCGCATGTCTCACGGCTACCAGGTTGAACGAACTGGGATTGATCCTCTTGTGACTCTAATTGAGAAGGCGGCTCAAGAATTTTATCTAGCAACGCAACCAGGTGTATGGATTGTGGATACGTTCCCTTTCTGTAAGTACATATTCTCTAAGAGATATCTGGTTGAAATTGATGTTGGTAATGGAATAAAGTAAAATATCTACCAGATTGGACATTTATTCCATTCAAGAAACTTGGAAAAGCTTTCAGTGAAACCAATGAGCTTCAGTTGAATGTACCTCACAGATATGTCCAGGATCAAGTGGTAATTAATATCTAAACGGCACTGGTTATGCTCTCAACGCCGTTTTTAGCTGAACAAAACCGCACGTCCTTCATTTACTTTGCAACTGCTTGAAACATGTGAAACTGAAGAAGAGAGGGAGCTGATCAAATACGTCTCAAATACTTTATATGGAGGTGGGTTGGACACTGTAAGTGATATACTTCTCAATTTTGAATTGATTGACACGACATCTTTAGGTCGTCGCAACAATAAGCACCTTCATTCTCGCGATGGTTTTGTTCCCAGATGTACAAAAGAAAGCACAAGACGAACTGGATGTTGTCGTTGGAACCAGTAGACTGCCAACATTCAGTGATCGCGACTCTTTGCCATATTTGAATGCCATTCAAAGGGAAGTAATGAGGTGGCATCCTATTGGTCCTATAGGTATTCCTCATACAGTCAAGTCGGAAGACCATTACAATGGATATCTCATACCTAAAGGAGCTACAGTTATTGCCAATATATGGTATTATTAACCTAGTCTTTTAAGAAGATGTGATTTTTAAAACATTCACAGGAAAATCTCACGAGACCCATTGTTATATCCCAATCCCGAAAATTTTGATCCAGATCGATTCATATCTACTCCTAGTCAAAAAGATCCCTGTAGTTTTGTCTTTGGATTTGGTCGCAGAATCTGTCCAGGACAAGAGTTGGCCCATGCCACTGTTTTTATATCTATGGCCATGTGCCTTTCAGTTTTTCAGTTCAGAAAAGCGAAAGATAATAATGGAAATGAAATTTCCTTCCTCCCAGAATTTCTTTCCGGCACTGTTAGGTAACTTTATGAATTTTAAAGAGATTCTGTTTATTAATACTTTGAAATATAGCCATCCAAAGGACTTTCCTTGCGAAATTTCTCCCCGCTCTCTTAGAGCTGCTGAATTGATTAAAGAAGGAAAGGACCTCGGGAGTACCCATGGAGATAGTGATAAGATTTTTATGTAGAAATCTTGGATTTTCCCAGAACAACAAATTCAAAATTTCAAGACAATTGATTTAACACATCTTCTATAAAGGAGAATTTTGTAATAGCTCTGGGGTTCATCAGTGTTATACCTGAATTTTTGGTTCAGTTAGTAGAGCATTATTTTGATATCCTATCTAGATCAGGTGAAGACAGTCTCATATGTACTGCTGCTCTTCTATAGAGTCTAGTTTATTTCATAATATTTGAAAGGAGTAAGAAAACTAGTAACAGTACATGATCCTACCAGCAGGAAATAATTTTTACCCTTCACAACAGTCCCTTTCAAGCTAAGGGTTTTTCTATAAGGTCTTTCTATTCCTCATCATCTGTTTAGTTTTGAAAGATTCTTCCGTGTAGCATAACATCTGATAGAGTATAAATTCTGTTTCAGGCATTTGCAAGTTCTTGGAAGGATGGAAGTGATCATGAAAAAGGCGTTGCTTGGTAACAATTTCGAATACCTAAATTTTTGATAAACAAAGGTGAGGGTACGCATGGATAATACCGATCGTCACATACCATACACCCAAACGACCAGATATCGGCCTTTTCATCCCACGGGCTACCTATAAACACTTCCGGTGCTCGGAATTCTGGAGGACCGATCTCGAGGCCCTGGTAAGTATTCTTCGGTAAAGCTATGGCCAAATTGTCCTAGATATCCAGCCTGAAAAGAGCAGAAAGCGCTGACCATTTCCGAAATCACCGATAGCAAAATCACAACTCATAGCTTCCTCGATAGATATGATGGGTAATGGTTGGGTCTTCCGACAACTCTGGGGCATGGCGGCGTGGAGGGTCAGAGGGTAGCCAAGAATCGATCTGTTCAGTAGATAATGCGTTCTTGAAGAAGATATTGTCGTGTTTAAGGTCGGTGTGGATTATACCGGCGCCATGGGCACCAGCGATACCGCGAAGGGTATGAAGAAGTATTCGTTTGGCCAGTTTCAGAGGAAAAGGAGTTGTATCGCAAGACACCATCAAGCGCCTAACGTCGCCACCAAACAAATTCGTAGCTATAAAGACATGTTCGACCGGGTGCTCTCCAAAAGTCAACGAGCTTGACACAATGAGAGGGGTGCTGGTTCAACTTCTGGCTCAAGCGGAATAGTGCTTCTACTTCCCATTGTACTTTGTCCTCTTGTAATGATAACTTTGTATAATAGCCGTTGAGAACCTTCACTGCGACGTACTTGTTTTCTCTGACAAAAGGTTCCTCGATTGATGTACTAGGGCAATAAAAAGACGACTCACTTCTGGTCAAAAGCCAACCAAGAACTAGAGGTCAAACCCCATCCAAGTTTCCTTTTGACGATGTATCGCCCACCACCAATAGCTTCTCCAAAATCCAGGTACGCGTAACCGTAACCGCTAGAAGCAGGCGTTCCTAGTGGTTCTGAGTTAAAGGAGAACTTCTGAGCTGTGGCACTACCATCCTCGGCGTTTCTCTTGTTCGTAGATGTGTAGAGTGCCCGTTTGGCTACGGTCCTGCTGAATATTCGCGGTAGGCGGAAGCAGAGCATTGATTGTCACGTCGCGGTCTATGTTTATGTTTGGTAGCCGAGATTCCAAAGCAGTACTCACTGCTGGGGCCCAAGAATTTTCGGCGGAAAAGATGAGAATATTTTTCTGGCTCATTTTCGGCGGAGAAAATGTATAATTTTGGCTGGCTTTATCCCATCTTTGGTAGCCAAAACCATATGTTTTTTTTCAGCTGAAAATGGGCCAGAAAATGTCTTCACCTTTCCCCGTTCATTTTTGATGCGAAGTCAAGGGTAAATCTGGATAAATAAATCATCTTCTAACTTGGCAATTTTTATTTCCTCCGCATGATCATCGGCTTCCTTAGCTCAGTCGGTAGAGCGCGAGTCTCATATTTCGGTATCTCGAGGTCGCAAGTTCGAGCCTTGCAGGGAGCAATGACAAGAAAGGAATTGATCCAAGATTTTGAAGAGCTTCTGGCATATGTAAATGTAGACTAGTGTCTGTTTTTGCAGGCACAGGACCACTAGCTACTCATTTAGTGCCTACCTCCTGTCTCGATTCTTTGCTCGAGACGCATGTCACCGTCCGGCGCTAGTTTGGTGTTGGTGATGCCAAGTCCCGGAGTCCTTGATCACCCTTACTTTACTGTACTCAAGTGCAAGTTTGTTGGACGTTTGATGTAAACAGCAAGGACGCACGTTCATCTTTATGTAAAATCGATGTGCAGGGTAGGGAGCCAGCGACAGGAGGCAGGACACAGGGCGCGATGCCGAGGGTGTTTGTGCGGTGTGCCTTGAAAAGTCTATGGATTTGAGCAGTGTTGTGCGGCTTCCCAGTCACCTTTCATGACGAGGGCACCGGCAAGCGCATGTCAAGGGCGGACTGTCATGCTCGGAAGAAAGAGCCGGCAACTCGAGAGTCTGGATTTGTCGTCGGTGCGTACATCTGGAACGCGGGCCGCGGTGCAGTCTAGATGTAGCAAAGACAAAGACTGGACTCCACTCGGAGGAGAAAGTGGTGCGGTATTTACCTAGTCTCCTCCTCGTCAGTAACTCGTTTCTCGTTCTCGGCTACCTGAAATGACGTTCCTCGGTGGAGGCTGCGACTTGCTGACGGCGTTCTCGATCCAATCTGTTTCTATTCGGAGTAAAGAGTTATCACGTGTGTATACAAAATAAATGAAACACAGGCCAACGGAGCAAAGACTTTCCAGCTCACAACCCTTGTCTTGTACCACCTACCCTTTAAAACACAATAAGAGTCACCTCCATTCCATTCCAACCTGAAATGAACAGTCCAACAATAAAAGCAAAAGCTAAACCACCGCGCATGGACTTTTCGTTGTTGTCTTTTCCGGATCCAGATTTTCCAGAGTCTTTTGGTCCTCGTACGTTCCTTGTTTTTCTTTTTTGTTCTCTTTCTAACGTTTTCCATGAAACGTCGTCTTCGTATCACCACTCGTTCTACTCCTGGTTTCATTGTATTTGGGTCTCTAACGTCTCCGGTTACCTACTTTTCACCTCCTTCATCTCGCCGCCGACGCTCTTCCTATCCTTCCCCGCGTATTCCTCTAGCCTCAATTGAAGAACTCCCATCTCTTGAAGCAGAAGCAACAGAACCCTCTATAAACCTCGGAGCTGAAACCCCCGCGCTTGTCTCTCCTCTCGACTTGGGTTTCGACGCAGACCCTTCATGTTCGGGGTTAGGTTCCAGGAGAGGAAGTAGTGGGAAGAAGGACGAGGTGCACGAATTCCTTCGTGGTGAAATTGAGAGGGCGTTCCTAGAGTCGCCATTGTTGGACACAGAGTCGTCGTCTTCCGACGGTTCCGAAAGCTCAGAAGAGGATATTCGTGTACGTGTATTTCCTTTTTTCTGGGTGTTGGGATTTGAGCTCACGGTCTCTGTCTCTTTCTTTGCCTTTCTCTTTGCATCATCGTTGTCCACTCGTCATGACTCCTTTCTCGCCGTCATCACCTTTCGCTTCGCCTCGCTTCCATCTTCTGTCCACGTCACGCAAACTTCCCAACCCCCAAATTCGAATCCCTTCGGAACTTGCCAAATGGATATCCGACCCCACATTTTCACACTAATACTCGTATTATCCGAACGTGTGGTCTATTCTGCCCTTGGACGTAATATTCTCCGTCTTCAATGGAAAATACAAACCACACGACCCACGAACTACGGACCATCTTCCATCTCATACCTCGGAACTTGCACATCCTTTCAAATTTGGTTGACAAAACGCCGCTGACGCTTCCGTACGGTGCCTTTTGCCTCATTTCACTGCCTATCGGTCGCCGGTACCGCTCCTCCCTGTACTTGTTTTTGCATCTACCCGCTGGCTTATACTGTGCGCATTACAATCCATCCCTGTGCTGCTGTTGGAATCATGTTCCGACTCCGACGACCGTGTACTGTATGGTTGTCTAATCTTCGCCAAACGCCGCCGCCATGCTTCTATCATATGATGAATACTGATTGGTTCTATACTATCACATGTGCTATTCTTACTTGTTCTACTTGGACGCTCTGTCGTTATTCACTTGCCGCATCCGGTGGCTTCCATCCTTCTATACACCCATCTTGCCTCGTTCATGATTCATTCTTCATGACTCGCGCTTGTTCTGCGGCTTCTACACTCTTGGATCTTCCATCTCGCATTGCATACCTGAAACCGCTCATTCCCGCATCTTCTCCCTTGTTGGAATACGTATCCATCTCCATCTCCACCGACGAATGATGGATTCATCATTTCATCGGCGACCATCCCGTCCTTGCCGACGTCTTCGTCCCCGTATGGATGCGCCGCATATGCTCCTATCGTTTTCTGATTCCTCGACTTGGCGTCTTCTCGACTTGTAATCCCTGCTTCCGTCATGCTATACCGTCGTTTTGGTATAACACAACCAAAATCGTTCGTCTAGCAGTCTCAACCTGTTGCTGTTGCTTCTTCCTCTTCGTCTTCTTCTCAGTCAACGAGCACTTGTTCGATACCGCACGAATCTTCGTCGTCGTCGTCTTTGACGGAAGAGTCGATATTAACGCCTAAACAACCAGAGCAGCAGACACAGACACAGATGCAAGCACCAACGCCTATAATCGTCCTCGCACCTTCTCCTCGGAGAGCAGGTCCCGGGTCTGGCGATTGGAGGAGTTTGGCTTCTGGTATCGGGGAAAGACCAGCGCTTTTACTCGATATGAACCTTGGTCTTGAACGTGAACGCGAGGAGCCCCGTAGACGAGAAACCAGCGAAACTAGTCAAAGTGAAAGTAGCGGAGACAGCTCGGAAGGTTCAACGCCGTTGACTACGATTAGTAGTCATAGTTCCAGTTTGAGTTTGGGAGAGTGTCCTGGATTGGGTTTACCTTTGCCTCTGTCCATGTCTTCGTTGTCTACTTCGATGACGATGGCGATACCTGGGCCTGGGCCGAGTACGTTGAGGATGAGACAGGGGCCTGTGCCTCCTCTTTTGGCTTTATCGTCGTCGGCGTCGTCGTCATCCCGGCCTATGTCTATACCCACACATACACCTCGTCATCTCACCTCGTCACGACCTTCCTCCCGACCCTCCTCCCGATACCCGAGTAGACCTTCCACCCCACTCTTACCACCTCAAACGTCCCCAGGTTATCTCGATATAGACTTGGCATCCAAAGTGTTTGGAAAGCTATGTTCGATTGTAGGGTTTGTCGTTGTGCTTTATGTGTTGTTTGGGCAGAGGAGTCGGGGTGGGGATGCTGGTTTTGGTATTGGGGTTGGTGCGTAAGGGGAGTGTAGAGAGGGAGGGGGAGTAGGAGCAGAGGGAAGGGGGAAAGGGAGCAGAGTAGGACGTGGGGAGTATATATCTATTCGTTTGTTTATTTCGGGGACCGAGGTCAAGTTTTGCTTTTTTTCTTTCGAGAGAAAATGTCAACCATCAACAGGTGGAGAGAAGCGGGGCTGGGCTGGGATAACATGTGGGGAAGGAAGGACCAGAGTGCATTTGATTCGCTTTGGTTTTCTGGTGTATGTTCTTTGGGAAACACTGGGAGACAGCTCGACGTGATTGATGTCTGGGTACGAGACGGGACAAAATAGGCAAAAGAGGCTTTTGGGACCTGGGGTAGCTTACCGTTGGAGGGAGGCGGGCCAGGGTATGAACGAATGGGGCGAGGTACATGTCGTTTTTCATGTCGCCCTTACCGCTGCGATGCCTTGTGGTACATGCATATGATCATGCGGTTGCTTGATTGTCTGGCTATGGAGGCTTTCACTTTCACCGTTGGTCTTTGGCCGTCGAGTATCCTGCATTCTAGGGAAACGTATCTGATGTCCAAGTATGGTCATTGGCTGGTGGCCGCTGTCATATATTGATAGCTTGCCTCTCTTGGCTTTGGTCTGTGCATCAGCCCGCTATACCTATCCAACGTTAGATGTGTACCGCTCCCGCTCCAACTCTATTGCCGTTCCCTTTCTGTTGCTGTTTCTGTTGCGACAGTGGCTGTACTGGGTCGTTGTCGTGCGGCAGGGTATACATTGCGGCCGCGTTTGTGTCCCTCTGTGCTCTGTTCCTTCCTTCTTTGTTCGCCGTCGTTTCTTCCCCTGCTTGCTCTGCCTTGTTTGCTTGCTTTCTTGTCTCGACCTCCGCTGCTCAACGTATTATGACAAACAAAACAAAACAACTAACTATTCATCATTGTTACGCGTACTGTACCACCTTTCGTTGCTTCAACGCACGCACGCATTCATGCATTCAAGTATATACATACTTATATACGCAGTAATTATTGGCATTGTTTTCTTTTATTCATTCATTCACTCACTCACGCCTCTTCCACTTTTTTTTGACTCATACTCTCAATTCCTCGTCTCAATTCCACATCACTACTTACCATCATACCACATGGACACTCATTCTCATCACCGTTTCCGTTTCTTCTCTTTCTCGTTTCGCAGGTTTTCAACAAAGTTCAAAGTTATGACCCAAACATGTACATCTTTCCTGTATCATCATCCGCTATTATTTGCTTTCTGGTTACGAATAAAATTGTTCATGATCATTATTCCCAATTGTCCGAGTTAAGAATCTTGAAGATGAATGTTAATGCTGGATGAACCTCCACAAATGTTGCACCATCCACCGAGTTAATGTGCTACGTTACTGTCACCATTTCCTGGAACGCCTGGCTTTTACAAGATCCGAGCTCCAAAGTTGTCCTACGGTCCTTGAGTTCTATTATACTCATCAATGGTCCATTCAATATAGGAGAAGGCCTTGCGTTACTTACCGATATATGAATCACTTCAGATTCCGTTTCAGAGTGACTCGGAGCCTTGACCTCTATCAAATCAACCCAGCGCGTGGAGCAGAGACCTTGACTCCTCCATCAACGTCAATACAAACGAAATGCGTGCCATGTTGGAGAATTTCCCTTTGGCCTGCATCAACAG